TAATTGTTCATACTGCCCAAATAGAAGATAATTAAAACAATTTTATCATTCATTGTTTTTTTTTTTTGTTTTTTTTATTGTTTTTTTTAAACAACCCAGGTAATAGGAATACACTCATTACTCAATCCTTAGTTTTTTTCCTTGCATGCATTTTAATGATAACTAAAAAAGGGTGCCAAATTTAAGCTTGCCCGGGGGCGCCAGTCAGTAACCATGAGGACAGGAGAGATAATCATTAATTGAAGTTCTCTCCCTTAATCCAAAAACGCAAATTGTAAAGAAATCCCCATGGGCACGAAACAAAAAAAGTAATGTAGAGAAAGTGGAGTTAGAGGGGACGTGGGGAAAGAGCAAGACATGGTATTTAGTAGTAATATAGCAGTCCAGGTGAATTCAGACTATGTGGAGGGCAACCCCCCCGCCTTCTTGAGATTGCCGAGTAGATTTAAAATAACTTTTACTGTATTGGGGCATGACCATTAAAATCAAATATTTCACATCTCCAACACTTTTTGTGAAAGAAAAATGTTTTTTTATTATATTTACAGCAAAATATTCTAAAAATCACTTTCCTTCACAGAAGAAAAAAAAGCCACATCAATTATACAGGTACAGGTGAGACAGAGGATTATGACAAATGCTTCCCCACAATATCTGATCTATGTTGACTACAGTAAGAAATATCACAAATATTGTGTTATCCCTGTTAAAAATACATAGTTTTTGGATGATATCAATTGGTTACAATTAGACTACAATAATAGACATTATTCTACCCGATAACTTCCTTAAAGATAAAGGTTTTGTGTGCAGACAAAGCCAAGTTTTAGGTCTTTGGGAGCCCTGGACACAGCAAACATTGAGGGCCATATTTATCCATTTCTTTTTCATAAATACTGGTGATTGGTGGATATTTATACATAGTGCAAAGCTAGTTGATAATTATTAAATAGACGTATTTGGTTTTTATCTATTGACACATGCAGTTTGCTATTAAACTGGTAAACATTATGTAGCACTGCAAGATTAATAAATTTAAACTAATGAATTACAGAAAGATTCTTAGAAGTTTAGGAATTTATTATTCAAATAAATGACAACCATCATCATCATCATCATCCCAATATAGCAGCAATCTGGGCATGTACCCTTTGACCAAGGTGAAAGATTTTCACTCTCTCCACAGCTTTTACATAGTACTGTAAATTTGATACAAATGCCAAGGAGGACACAGTTTAATATAACAAATTTTCAAGATGATTAAAAACTTTGTTCCCCGTATTTGAAGGTCAGACTTTGGAAGTTTAGTGTTAGACTTATCTCACAGAAATTTTTATGTGCACTTTTGTACACAAATTTAATTTTTTTTAAAGTTCATATTTAACAAAGTTATGTGTGGTCAAATTAAATGAAACATGATATTGTTCAACTACACTGTAGTCTTCAAAACCTGGGTTAAGGTTAAGAATTACGCACTTTAAAATTGTTTACTGCCTAATCAGAAAATGAAAGTTTCCATAGGCTCCTTAACTCCAGGTCAGAGGTCCTTTACTATTGGCTATTGGGAGGCTTGCCCACCTTGTAATTTGGACAATATCAGGCCCAAGGCCAAGGGTTATCTAGGGTATATTTAGTAATTAGTTAAGTGACAGCTTAGAGGTACTACTAACTTCTTAGACAACCAGCCTATCATCAACTTAAGTCTTTATGATACTTTATCATCCACATCCAAAAAAACACATCATTTAAAAAAAAATTTGAAGATTGACACAAATTTCCATGAAATAGAATATATATTTTCATAATTGAGCAGAGCCCCTTATGACTTTTGTGGCAAATTATTAAAAGACTTACTTGTTTCCATTTGCTCTTTCTCTTGTCTGTTCATCAAGGCGATTGTTGCTCCCCCTGAAAACAAAGAAAATTTTCTATCTTTACCTTTAATCTTAAAATTTGACAAACCAGTAAAAAGTGAGTTCTACAACAAGACTATTTGAGTATTTGTAACTGTTAATTGTTATCTTAATAATATATAGGCTATAGACATAGGCCTTACTGATAATGATAATAATTTAATAAGGAGGGGTCAAGTAAGGAAAAAGGAAAGGTAAACCTGAAAAAGAGACAAAACTGAGAAATGAACCTGTCCGCAAAAAGCCTTCATCGGCCAACAAATATAAAAATTAAAATTTAGCTGAAATGAAATGTAGTAGTAGTAATAATACTTGTAGCCTACTACTACTACTAGTACTACTGACTGCATAATGGCATAATATTATTCGTGATACTAATAATACGGACTATCACTAATTCTTCTTACCTTGGATTATGCAGATAAATATCACAAGACACGATATCCAGAATTATTAACATAATAAATGATGATAGGTGAATTCTTTTCATTTTCAGCCTGTTTCTTTCAGATTCAGTGGTAATTATTCCAATCAGTCCACAGTACAGGAGTACAGTCCACAGTATAATTAGAATATACCTTTGCCTTAGACAATTCAACTTAAGTTTTAACTTTATGATTTATGTTATCACTTACAGTACTTCACTTTGAAACTGAGTTTGAGTTGACGTCACTCTAGTTCATACTTTAATTTAATTATTATTAGTAAGTCAGTCTAGTTCTAACTCTTAACTTAAATCTTAAGTCTTAAGTCAAGTGTAGTCTTACTTTTACTGATACTTGACACTCTCTTAGATAAGTAAGCTACCTAAAAATAAAATCGAGGGGAAAACACATTCATGATTCTATTTATTAATCCAAAACAAATGTTATTGTTGCATTAAAAAAAAAATATGAGTCACTTCAACAATGCAGTGTTTTCGTTATGCAGTTGTTGACATACTTTTCAAGGGATGAGCACAACACAGGTGACTGAAAGCAAAAAGGTAAATGTGAATGCTCTTAGAAAAATAGTTCTTAAAACATCACAGCAATATTCTTTAAATGATGAGAATAGAAGGGTAACTTTTAAATGTCTTATTCTTATTAAAGCGTAAATTAGCCCTCAATATTGTATATTTTATACATAAAATATTGCTCGGACAAAATTGAATGTCCACTCATTCTGACAGTTCATATTTTTTTCACGTGACGTTAAAAATAAAAGGAAAGTGCGTAGTCAATGAAGCGACGAGGATATATTCATGAGCTGTAGTGTGTACATTGAGAGGTGACAATTTTGAAAAAAATATATTTTTGTAGTATAAAAGAAGATTGTTTCTAGATCTAGTTTTTTTTTCGTTTACATTTTCTGCTTAGGAAATGTAAAAGCGTTTTGGGTATACCAGAGCGTGTTGCTATTTTCAACCAACAATTATTCTTCACTATTATTATTATTTTATTCAACAGAACAGGCAAGTTTAAGTTAGTAGTATTAGTATTACTACTAAGTGAAAGTGATTAGTCAGATTAGTGATCCAAATCCAACAGCTACAAATCATAACCTCCCTTAAACTGACTTAAAAATATTAGAAATTTAGTAGTTAGTATTTATTAGGTAGTATTATTAGTATTACTAGTATTATTAGTTATTAGTAGGCAAAAATCATGACTGCTAAATTTTATGTAGAAGACTAATAACTAATAATTGAATTAATAATTGACTAATAATTTATAATTAATTACAATTAAAAGTCACTTACTAAGTCTTATTACTCTTATGTAGTATAATTAATAATAATATAATATAATTTATGCTGTACAGTACCTAGCCTGGGTGAAAAATAAACTTAGACTTATAGTTTTAATGATTTAATGTGTTCAAAGTTAAATTAAAAGAAAGTTAAATTTTTTAGTGTGTGAGTGTGACTGGTGACAACACAAGACAAGTACTAAAATTAAAAAGGTTATGTCCATGTGATGCATTAGTTGATTAGTAATTAATAATTTAATAATTAATCGATTAATAAATTATTACTTAACTTAATATTACATCGAGAAATGTAAAGTAAATAGTAAAACAGTAATTTCAGTTTCAGTAAATAGGCCTACTTATAAATTAAATTAAATTATAAATACTATTACCATAATTTATAACTATAAATAATTACTAAATTATTACTATCTTACTGATAGTATCATTGATCATACACTTAAGTCTTACTAGTACTAGTCTTACTTCCTTTCCTTCTTTATTTTATTATGCATACAGTGCATATTGAATATACATTTCATTGTTGGGTTATTTTCTAAAAAAAAAAAAGTAATTTATTTTAATTAATACACTACTGTTCCATAACTGTTCAGCTTTTTTATAAAAGTAAAAGTCAGAACATTTTACTACAGTTACAATTATTGAATCAACATTGACATTGTGGTATGGTCGTTGTAAGACTCAGAGAGGATGGTATGTGTCAATGATTTAAATTTAAGAATAAAACTACTGTAGTTTATAAGGTATTGGGGTTCAGAGTTAGACTAAGTCACCCTCTGACAAAAGTTTTGTGAAGCACTTATTTATTTTGTGCCATCATATTATAATATATAATAAAAGCCAATATCAGAGGATTTACTGGAATTGAAATCTCTATAATCTATATCTTATCTTATTGTTCAAGGGGTAATAAGGGATGAGAGGCTGAATCAGGTTAGGTTAAAGGAAAATTAAATTTGTGAAACAAGTTATAGAGAAGCCTGAAAAGGGGGAGGCTAAAAAACAACAAACTTGTCAGCAAGAAGCCTTCTTCAGCTAAAACATTACAAACAAAGAGTAACACAAAAATAAAAAAAATTAGCTAAAAAGTTGTATCCGAGAGGACAGAAAGAGGAATGATCTAGGGCTGTGGATAAGAATAACTTTAATCCTGTTACAATTGTCACTCGCAGGAGATCTGAAGGCATCAGAGATATTTTTAACCTGTTGAAAGGCTGATGAAAGTATCGTTTCTTGGTAAGATCTACACTAGAAAAAGTCAATAATCTCAAATGCCTTGTCCCAAAGGGTATTCACATTGAAGTACTTTAACTGCTTGCATCATAAAGGATCATTTTAATTTATGCTTGAATGTTTTTTTACCTTTCAGTTTGTCAAAATGACTAAGTTTGAGCCTTGGATACTTTTCATGGTAGCCTTTTTAGCCAGCGAATCTTTAGCTGATATTTATCTTCATATTCCAAGAGGCAGCAACAATCGACTCAATGAGAACACAGCCACAAGAGCAAATGCTAATAGACTTTTTGACAGTCAGGTTAGTGTGAATATTTGTGTTTTTCCACTGATTGGCAGGTTCTGGGATAATAGATTTGATGGTCCCTGTTAATGGCACTGGGAGTACTACCACCTGACCACATATTTTAAAAATTAAAGTAGGCATATTCTGTGATAATTCATTTTTATCTGGACATCGCATAAACTTTTACTAACTTGCAATAATTTATAAAATTCTTCCTTGAGGCATTTACTTATCCAACATTTCCCCTCGCAGCCTGTATGTAATCTGGCACCTGCCCACCACAAAGGGATTTTAAGTTAGCCACTGCTTTCACATATGCACTATTTACCACAAAGGACATATCTGTTAATTTGTTAAATGCCATCATTGGACTAATTTTGTACACTCGATATAACCTAGTTTTTAAGGTAGTTATCAATCTGCATGTATTAAAGAGGCATTAATATTAAAACTGAATCATGTTTACACTATCAAACTCTTCTTTGTGCTCAGAACAACAACAGAGGGGGCTACAATGTTGGAGATAAAACAGATCAAGCTTCTGGTGCGACAGAAGATAACCAATACAATGAGGTAAAGACATCTTTTATATTCCCCATTCAAAATCAGCTGGTTAATTGATTCCTAGTTTTAAACAGTTTGTGCATCTTGTACCACTTAAAAACAATAATCAATTTGCCATTGTTGAAACAGTTATGTAAATTGCAATTTATTATAATGTTATATTCTTTTTAAAGTATTTCAATTCTCTGGTATATATTTTTTACTTCCTAAAAGGGTAAACATGTGTTTATTGTTCTCTAGATGCACATTAGTGCTTATAGGATAATCTAATTGATTAGTGTTGCAGCTCTTCTCTGTCTTAATATAGTTTCATGATAGCTTCACATCGTATAAAATCAATGACACAACATTCAGATTTGAAAAAAACATTTTTTTTTATTTTTATAACTTTTGTTGTTTATTTTAGTTTCTGTTGAGGAGAGGCAGTCTTAGTTTTTTTAAATAAGCTTCCACATATTCTTCAACAAATAAGCAAAGAATGCTTGTTGTAAGGATATACATTTGAGTGATGTTGATTTAAGTCCACAAAATGTAATAGTAGTTTTTATGTTGTTTCTATAGAAATACTTCCAAAGTGGAAACTATAAAAAATATTCAAATGACCAAGGTAAAAGCTTTTTGACAATAGAATGGACCAATCAGCATGGATGTGGGGGAAATGAGAATTCAAGTCCTCAGAAGCAAAATTGTGATCTTGTACTACAGTACATGTGTCAAGATGAGCCAGCTACAGGAGGTAAAGTATTGAGTTAGCCGTGATGGTGGGATAGATATATATATAAAAAATTTTTTTATTATTTAATTAAAAACTTGACATATTTATCATATTTCATTATCCTTAAGTTGTCTTCATTTTATGACATAAATTATTCCAGAATAATTAAAATGAGTGATCTGCCATTTTATATGTAAGTGGCTTGTTATTTTTTTTTTTTTTTAAAGTTCAAACCTCTGAACCATTGAAATTTGTTATTAAACAAACCAAAACCATTTACACTACTTTTAAGTATTGTTTTTCTTAGATTTTTTTATGGAGTATGATCATTCTGTGTGTTGGTATTGATATTACTATTGCATTGCAATTTTCATTACCACTTATCCGTTAAACATTTGTTTTGAAAAATACTAAGATACCTAATAGTATTTTTTCTATTAATTTAGCTGATAGGCTGAGAAATGGTGTTGTCACCAATACACAGGACTACACCAAACCTACAAAAGACAACTTAATGAATGATCGCAAGAGTACTGATGTCAAAGAAAACAGGGGCCTGCATGAGAAATGGGATTGGTACAACAAATGCTATTTAAGAGAAAGAAATAAAGGTTTGGATGAATGTCCACGATATTTTGCTACATTGATATTCACTCTTTATTTTATACCTTAGCTCTTCACAAGTTAAGTTGGTCGAAACAAAAAAAAATTAATTTCCTTTAAACTTTTATGTATTTCAAATAAAAAAAATCTTACAGGTCAAAATTTACAAACACACTTTAATTCATTGGAAGCCTTTACCCAGAAATATATGGTTTCAAGTTGCAAAACCTTTGTAGAGCTCCATTAATTTTGAATGGAGAAAACACCCCACCACCCTTATTATGATAAAAATTGAAAGTAAATGGCTTCATTATATGTTTAAATGCTTGAGTTTCTTTTTTTAATATTTTTTTTTTCACTTATCATATCAATGTATATTAATGAACACATTTTTCCTTCTGCCTTAATTAATTTAATATAAAAATACAATTTCAGGGTTGTTTGTTGCTGATCAGAAGCTTACTGCTAACAATGGCCTGGGTTATAGTAGCGCCATCTACACCCGTCAAAATCCAACAGGGAATCGTTATGGCTATGAGTGCCCTGAAGAGCGGGATTACTTCCCTTATTGGCATCCAACTCCATGGAAAGATATTGCTGTTTTAGCGGAGAATTCGTCGATGTGCAGGTGAAAACCCTATTATGGAACATGACTGTAAAAGAGAGAGGATGGGGGGTTAATGCCCCTTATTTAATTATTATTATTATTTATGTTGCATTGTCAGAATCCTATTTCTAGAGCAGCTATTCAGCTGTTGTGTTATATAAACAAATTCTGCCAGTATACTTTAAACAAGAATTAAAACTTGAAATGAGTAAATTAATTAAATCAAGATTTCACAATTAAAGAATTCAGAATTTATAGTGCAGGGAAACTATACTTCTGAAAATTGTCTAATAGAAAGCCTACGGAGCTGAACCATTGGTCAATATTAATTTCATTCCATTCCACTGAGGGGTATTTCTCTAGATATGTATATGATAACTAAATGTGTATATCTTGTTAATCCATAAAAATCATTTTTAGGCATCCGAGAAAGAGTTTAGCAGAGTTAAAACAAAAGGGAAAACAAAAACCGTAAATGTAAAAGTATAATTTTCAAATCTTTGTGTTAAACCAATTCTACTACCATATAATTTATATTATAATAAAATGAATAAGAATTGAGCCCCCCTGGGAATGCCTGGTTATTTCACTTACTGGTCAATTTAAAAATATGTTTACTTTTTTTTAATGGAACACGTTAAAAGATCTAATATGTATTTTAAGTTCAAAGGTCAATTTCTTCTGTCAGCCACTACACAAGTAAGAGCTTCAATGTTCAGCCTTATGGAGAGTGCATCAAGTCAGACAATGCCTCAATGTTCAACAATCAGAAATCATGCACAGACAATGGTGGTACCTGGGCTTTGCTGTATAACTATTTAGAAAAAGCATCAGGTAAAATGGCATGGCAGATTGAAAGTATAGGTATTATGACATTGGCCCAAACAGTGTTGCGGAACCTTTTCACACTTTATAAAACAGATGTACTACTGGTATCTTTTGACTGTCCAAAAGGGAATTTATCAAAACAACAAAAAAAACAGTGGACACTATCTTATCAAGATTCAATCTTTTTCTTGGGGTCAAAAGGAATATTACCAATTGTGACATGTTTCATATTGTATAAAAATCAAATTTTGAACAAGATTTGGGTGAATCGACTAAATTATTATTTAGCTATCGCTCTGCATCAACCAAATATATTCCTCACCAAGTGTGTTATGAACATTAATATTATGTTGTTTTTTTTTGTCAGTATGGGAGATTTTTTTTCAGTTAAATTTTTGTATGACACTTGGCTTTAGATGTTTTAACTCTTCTTTGCGCAACCACCCCCCCCCTCTCAGACAAGAAATCAAAGTCAGCATGTGAGAATACACAGACAACTGGATACACATACAAATGGGAGGTAGCTTACGACAGTCCATCTTATCAACCAGAGTGCCTGATTTTGCTGGATGCACCATATTGTGAAGAAGCACCCTGGTCAAGGTATGCAAATTCATAAAACTCATTTTTGTTATTTTTCTAAGCTGTCCAGGAGCAACATATTTTCAAGTTTTAAACAACTGCGGTCATGTTGACTAATTGTGAAAAGGTTTGGGCTGTGAATAAAGTTTTAGTAGATTAAAAACCACAAATTACTTACAGAAGATGTTGGTGACTTGACGCAGTTTGATCTGTAGAATAAATTAAAATGAAAGCTTTCCAATTAGATTTATTATGTTTGTTTTTTTAACATGTTAGTTTATGCATTGAATGTTTTGAAGAAAAAAAATTAGGGGAATGTCTTATGTGATGTTGATTTTAATTCAAGACTTTAAAAATTATTGCTTTATTGTACTTCAGATCAAACCATTTAGGCAATGGTAGAAATGGAGTTCCACTGAATTATACTTGGACCATTCCATTTTTCCCTTCAGGAAAGTCCAAAAGATGTGCATTCAGGTTTAGGTAATTTTAATTGTCTCCACTAACTATAAACACTGCTGAATTCTTCTTGAAAGACAATGAACAGAGCTAATGGTTTATTAATGATTATGAATCTTTTGGTTTTAATAATTTTAATTAAAAATTTTGGAAAAAAAACTGCTCGTTTTGTTCACTTCAAAATCAATCCCCATTGTTCTAATTACAATCTTATTTGAAAAAGTACACTCATCTACAATTTGCTCATCTTTCTTATTGAAATCCATGCTAAGTTGATCAAGTGATCTAAAACTAACATTAAAAGCCCCAGATTAGGTATTACAAAAAATTTTATTTTATTTTTTCATTAAAAAGACTTTTTCGCTTATTGTCAAAAACTAAAAATTGTATTCGTTCTTCACTTAAAACAATAATGATTTAAACACTGGGCTTAAAAAACTTTATTTCATTTTTTTACAGATACAATATAAGCACTGATGACTACAACCCTTACAAAACAGACTACATGCAGAATGATGACTTGTTAGTAAAACCATATTTAGTTACTTAAAATTATGTGTACTGCTATTTTCTATATTAACTGCATTAGGCAATCATTTTTTTAATCTTAAATCAAAATACTTTATAATTTCTAGAGTAAGTGTTATGAATTCTGTCAGTGAATAAAATTTATTCATATATTATAATTTTATGTTTATTTTAGCCCAGCTCAGTCACCCATCAAACAAAATCCGTATGTTTATGTGATGAACAAACAGTCCCCGCTTCGCCTTGCAATCAACACAGCCCAGTACGGGAGAGTTTTTCAAGACAGAAGCCATAGATTTGATCTGCGTGCAAGACCTCCAGGCATTGATGATGGTCGCATTTACAATTTGAATGTTCGTGGAAAGAGGGGCAACATTGTCCAGACATTCCCAGCCGTTGAGTATGATTTTTCACCAAACACACTTGAGGTTAAACAGAATGATTTGGTTCACATTCAATGGACAGGTAACTATAAAACAGCCGTATTAACACAGCATTTGTCCATACAGATGTACGAAAGTAGAGATTAAATACTCAATATTAATCTTATTGAAACTGTAGATGACAATGCTATTGAAGCTATAGATGACAATGCTATTGAAACTGTAGATGACAATGCTATTGAAGCTATAGATGACATTCAGTCAGGGTTTATCATTACTCATTTTCTTAATGTGCTCTTCATGGGCGTATCCTTCACTTTTTGTGTCTGCCTCCAGCTTGTGCCTCCATGTATTCTTTTGCCTTCCTCTGTTCTTTTTTCCCTGTGGTTTATGTCTTGGGTATTGTCTGGGAATGCTTAAAGAAGAGAGTGCCCTATTCACCTCCATCTTTTCTTTGTGGTGACTTCTTGGTATGTCCTCTCCAGTAAGTCTTTGTTGCTGATGATGTTTGGCAATTTGATGATGAATATCCATCATCAAATTATACTCTCATTGGTTGATTGCTTAGGATATAGACTATACAAAATCACTAGTTGGTAGAAAGGTTTTGGTGTGTGCCAATTACAGGTACGTCAGCCATAAAAACTGATTGTGTTCTTCCTCCACAGGCTCCAATACACACAATAACAATAATCCAGCAGGTGATGGCCAAGCTGGTGATGCAGGAGAGGGAAGAGGAGGTAAACTACTGTGATTTAACTAATTATAATATTAAGGGAATTGGACTGCGAATGAAGCTCAAGTAGAGTAATAAGACACAAACAAAAATGTATTTGACTTTCTATTCTTATTTCATGCCAAGCTTAAAACAAGATTTCCCTATTGATGAAACACCATCCTCCTTTTTTCAGCAAGGGAAAAAACATTTATCAACACACAGCTTTCACGTCTATTTTATTTGACAGGAACTGATCGCAGTAACTTTGTGGAACTAAGTGACAGAAGTGCCAACTTCCCGACACCTCATGAGAAAATTAGTTTTGTCAATGATGTTGAAGTGGTCTGGAACTACTTTGATAAGAAAAACCTAACACCCAGAGACTTGGCCATAAACTTGGCCTCTGCTGGTTATTACAGGTACCCTAAGAGTCTCTTCCACCAGTCTGACAGACACAAATAGCACCATTCAGATGTTATGATATGAATATGAAATACATATATATGTTAAGATTGATTACTGTAACTGATGTGAAGGAATAGGTTTATTTGAATTCATTATATGATTAATCTTTTATCTGTTGTTACATTAAACTTGCGTGGTCAATATTCTTAGTTTCATAAATCTGTAAGTTTACATGATTTAAATTATATATTATATTTAATTTTCTAAATTGTAAGCTTACATATTTAGAAAATTAAATATATAAATAAAAATGGCTTTTTTGGTGTCATCATTCAGTTAACACTCTACAGGGGCAGAGGCTACTAAAAAGGTCTCTCCATATTGCCCTGTCAATAGCCAGCCTCTCCATTCACATCCAAGATCTTTTGACTCTCAATGTAGATCCCAAGATCTTTTGACTCTCAATGTAGATCTCAAGATCTTTTAACGCTCAATGTAGATCCCAAGACATTTAGACTCTCAATGTAGATCCTTAGATCTTTTAACGCTCAATGTAGATCCCTAGACATTTAGACTCTCAATTTAGATCCCTAGATCTTTAGACTCTCAATGTAGATCCCTTCCCTTATTTTATGATCAAGTGCTAAAACAGAAATTTCAACATTTGTCTCTTTTTAACATTTTCAGATGTGCTGATAATAAAACCTGCCCAGAAGCAAGCAATGCTGAATACCTGGTTTCAACTAAAACTAAGATCAACAACCTTCTGGACAATGCACCGGCATCTTACGAAGGGGTGTTGTTAAAATGCCTGAAACGTGGTGTATATAACTACATGTGCACTCGCAACAACAGCTTCTCCAACAGGAGTCAGAAGGGAGCTATAGTTGTAAAGTAGATGTCTCTGTTTCGGAAATTCAAAGGAGTTGGGGATCTTCCTGTTTCTTTTGTGATACTTTAAAGAGTTGTAGTTTAAATCATTGTCGTTTTTTTTTTCCATGTCAAGATATGTTATTAGTCAATGTGCCGTGGTAAATACATAACCCTCGGCTATATGTTATGTATCCAATGGTTTAGAGAAGCATCAATTTCAGCATAGAAATCAAATGTCTTCGTGTTTTTGTTCATTTATATTGTATATAGCAATGTGTTCTTCTTACAAATGGATGCTCTTTTTAGTGGGCTTAATATGTTGATGGGTTAACGTTACAATAGGTAAAATTTAGCATTATATTCATTTTGAAGATGTTGGTAAATTGTGATACTAATGATGTGTCAAATTGTACTTATTTTATTATGCTATCAGTTTAATAATCATTTTTTAAAATTTCAAATACAGTAGTGTTGGTAGCTTTTCCCGCATGTGGGACACGCATATTTTTGGGGTCCTGGTGGAAATGGAGGCTGTTCTGTGCGCTTTCTTTCAGATGTTATATTAAATATATGGTTGGCAAAAGTTTAATTTTTTGGTTAGTAGATGATTGCACTTAGGCTTCACGTAACATTTTCATTAAATTTATTGCACTTCAAAATGATGGGTTTTTTTTTGTTGGTTTTTTATAATTACTTTTATGTTTCCCATTGATCCTTATTCCAAATGCCATTAAAACCTGCTGGTTCAGGTTTGTTCATTATTTTAAATACTCTCAAAAACATTGATTCATCTCATTCCATAAAGTTGTGTTGTTGTTTTTTTTGAGACACACATATTCCAAATTTTTTTTTTTAAACCTTATATTCTTATTTATGTACATCACTGTATGTTTTTATAAATTTGGGTTTCAAAATGAAACAATTTTATCATCTTCAATGTTTATTTTAGATTTCATATAAAAAAAAATTTTTGGCCTGTCATTACATTAAGTACCAAGCCAAGATAAATCTTTAAGTTACTATAACTTATAACATTGCTTAAGAGAACATTCGTTGTTGTTTGTTTAGATATATACATTTGTAAAAAAAAATTTTTATGGACTTTCCTTCTTGTTACTAATATTATCAGTCATATGCAACATGAAAAATTCACTTTTATGTATAGAAAGGTGAGTATATTGAAGAAATAATGTACGGTAATAAAGCATTGTGTAACGCTGGTTAAATAAAATAAACAAAAAAACTCAAAATGTGTAATTTTTGTGAAGTGTAACTACGGATTACTCCAAAATTTCACTGTGAATTTTGTCATGCATGAAAATTAAATACAACTTGTTAGTCTAAGATCAAATAAAAGCTCAATTATTTAATTTAACTCCTTTATTTACAGCAATAAAACATATAAAGCACAATCGAACAGTCTTGGTTTTAGGGTCTGTGAAACTAAAAGGTTTTAGATACCGTATCAGGACCAAAAAAATATTCCATTTCATTGATGAATTCACATCAGACATTTTCAACTTTTACTCTAAAACAGACTAAAACTATAACTGTAAGAATCAACATGCCATTTAAGCATTAAGGTAACTATTAGTGAGTAACGATATCCAAGCTAATTAGAAATAGGTGGATTGTATTATTAGGTGACACCTTATTTAATTACACTATAAAAGGTGGGTGAAATGCCCAAAATGACCTTCCTTATTCCTTTATATTAAACCTTTGGGACACCTGAGAATCTTCTAAAGTCAGATGTGTCATGACACTGATCTTTTTATATACATATAATTTTATAATGCAAAAACTTTTTTTACATAACAAAAAATTGTTTTGTGAACTAAAATATTGTCTCATCTTTAAAATGACTTTTAGTTTGTAGTAACTTGTAGCTTTCTTAGAAAATACATTTTTGAATTAATAAAACTACATTTCAATTAATTTTTTATTTGGGCAACACAAAAATATCTTCAGGAACTTGAAGAACATTGTATACTTCAATTTTATATACAAATATAATATATATATATTCATGAATTGGCAGATATTATCTATTTATATATCAGTTTAAAAAAAAATCTTTTAATAATCCTCATGGCAGTTAATACAATTGCATTAGTATTCACTGCAGTAAAAATTGTTACTTCAACTTAAAAGAGAAATGAGACCTTTATATGATTGAATTCTTTTATACCTACCGATAGGCTGCTGATAACAGTTAAGAATAAGTTTCCCAAACTCCCCTCCACAATATGGCCTCTAAAGCCCTTCAATGCTTTGCGTCTCCCATTGTAAAAGGAGTACATAATTTTAAAAAGGAAACGTGTAGAAAGTATGAGGCAGCTCTTGAGATTTTATTACTTTTGTTGGGTGTTTGGGCTGATTTGAGTGAGACACATAGGAGGAGGGGGAGATGATGGTAAAATCGACAGTGTAACAGGAAGGCAAGGATTAGGATTTCTTTATTTTGTTTCAGATATTGGCTAGAAATCTTTAAATAGTATTATGCTCTGCTATTATTTTGTAAATACACCAAGCAGGAGATCTGACAGACCACCTTGAACTTAAAGCTAGTCACTATGTGTGACCCTTCCAAAACTCGGAATGCATTAAAAACTATGAAAAAATAGTTATTCCCTCTCAATTCCTAGTAAAGTTCAAAGAACACTCCACACTGTTGATTAAGATGTATAAAGGTTTATTGGGGATACAAAATAATCTACTTAAATAACTCAGAACTGTGTACATGTAAATTTACAAGCTGATTTTGACTGGTCTTTACATGACAGGATATTAATTGCTCCTTTCTCCCAATATTTTACAACACCATGCATTTTTTTTTTTTTTTTTTACATAATAAAACCTTCAACTTTGTCTTCCCCTTCTTCCTTCTGAACAGAACCGAATGTGGTTTTGTTGGTTGACCTACACAGTCCCCAAAATTTACGAGGTGAAAGACTTTTTTTTGTGATTTACAACACTATGCATTTTTTTTTTTTTTTTTTACATAATAAAACCTTCAACTTTGTCTTCCCCTTCTTCCTTCTGAACAGAACCGAATGTGGTTTTGATGGATGACCTACACAGTCCCCAAAATTTACGAGGTGAAAGACTTTTCTTTGTGGCTGTAAACATCCATCCCATGTGAGAGTAACATCCCTTGCATTGGTTAATGGTCCATGCATATCTGAAGAAAATAAAAAATTGTTTTTTAATTTGGTTGAATAAATATTTAGACTTGTTATAAATCCGACTTTCCCATTATTTTTTTTTCTTTCTAGCAATAATGTGACCAAAATCTTGGGCATTTAGAAATATATACTGAAACTACATACTAAAGTATGAACTTTCGCTGCATTATTAATTTAGCTATTAAAAAATTGTCATTGTTATGGTAGTTTCAACTGAGTAAATTTACGCAAGTGCCTCAAATAGCATGAAATGTAAATTAGATCATAAATTAATAAAGCAATCAAAAGGGAAGCTTTTTTCCTTCTTAATAGGATCACAATAATTTTTAAGGTCTAATCTTACCCAGGGAACCAACTGTGCTCCGTTGAAGAGCCTCCAACGTTATATAAATTTTGTACAGCAGTGACAGTAAACATTTCATGGACATAACCTCCGGGGTTAACATAAGCCCCAAGCGGACCTTCTCTGCTCATGCTGAACACATGTTTTTTACTTGCAATCTCTTTCTGACATGTTTCACAGCGGAGTAAGACATCACTCTGTCAAATAAATACAAAGAATTCAAATTAATTAGTTATCTTGTGCGTTTGATCTATAAGATTTTAATTAAACTTTTGTTTACTGAAAAGCGGGCAATTTATTTATAATTCATCAATTCCATTTATTTCTTTTACAAAAACCTCACTTATTGAAGAAAAAAATACCACCAAGACTCAAGGAGCGGTCATTTTTACATTTCTTTGGGGAAAGCACTCTTTTTCAGGGTTGGCTACTCTGTTAGGTCAACATTAACTTTTAGAGTGTGAAGAAAACAATTTCCTTCTTAACCTTAAATGTCAGTATTTTAAATATGAAATATAAAATATATGAAGCTTAAAATGCATTGTTAAAATAGTATGTCGATTTAAAAGCAATATGGATTCAAATAATAGAAATGAAAAACACTGATTATGTAACTTGTAAGACAACAAAACAATTTTTTGAAACATTTCTGGACAAATTAGTGTGCAAAGCCCTTAGGTTTAAAAAAAAATACCTTACGAATAATACTAAGCCCGTATCTCAAACGCTGAACTACAGAGTCAAACTGAAGCAGACGCAACCGCATCTCATTGTTGACTGGCAGGTTGTGGGCGACCCAGAATGAAAGCTCAACAGGGTCCGGTGGTAGTGAGGCTGGACACCAGCTGTGGAGTTCTGCTTTAATCTGCTCTGTTAGCCAATCCTTTGAATTCAAATAGTATGTTTAGAGCTGCAATTATTCAAATACTACACATACACATGTGATTTAAAGGATATGCATAGAATTAGACACTTGGTTTTAACATAGTTAATATGTTATTGTTTCATCTATATCATCAAAAGATATACCTGGCATGATTTTTGCTGGGTATAGTTCAATAATCAAACCTGAATTTTAACTGGTCTATAATAAGACAGTGGTTTCTTCAAAAGAATATTTTAAAACATTTTGGGCCATATGACTGTTATTTTAAAAAGAATACATTAAATATTTTGAATAAGGATTAATACAGTTAGCCTTTTTATATTGGGGAAAATAGAATGCTTTAGATTCTAAACATAAGCTACATTGACATTTTGAACACGTAAGTTTTTTTATTTCTAAATATTTCTTATTTCTTGTCTGCTGAAGAAGGTTTTTAAACAAAAAGTTATTTTAATTGTCCTGTCTCTTCTTTTCAAGCCTAAACATAATCTTATTCCACTATTTATTTCCATTTTCTCTTACTTGCTTACAATAGAAATTAAGAATATTTATCATGTTACTCTCCGTATCATATGATTTTTATAGATCACTTATAATATTAATATCATGCAGTTATTGTACATTACTTACAATATCATACATTTTATACACCCAAGGTGGCCACCAGGTGTTATGCGCAGAGTACATTTTTGTGATGGGATTTTTTCGCCTCAGATCCACTGAACTGAGAATGTGGCCCTGGCTGTCAACCGCAGTCTTCAGCAATTCCTCACAATCATCAGGAGGTGGAACCATAAGCTTACGATGGGAGGGCAACCGTGCAGATTCCAGTGCATGACACAGAGACACCTCTGGTAATATCTTTACTTTGGCAACAAGATCCCTAAGGATAAAGACAGAAAGTATTCCGAATGAAATTAGCAAGTTAAAAATATTTAACTATTGATACAGTCAGACGGAGATTCAAGAAGGACGTATATTTTTCCATAGCTTTTTTAAAAGGCCAATAATTAATACATTACCCGGTAATTTCTGTTTTCATCTCCAGAACTTTGAACCTCTGCCTGCCACGAGCCTTGACTCTTACTGTAGATATACCTGAGAGCTCATCCATTTCCTGTTTCATAGAGAAAATTTCTGCCGTGCACCCCAAAGCAGACAATTGCTGTTGCTGTCGCTCCTCTTCCTCGTCGTAACCCCTACTGTGTAAACATAAATTGACAGATTTCATGTTATCGCTAAAACAGCCACTGAATCCAGAAGACAGTGACATTAGCCAACTTGCAGTGGGATAATAAGAACTTAAGTTTGCTAACTTTCAAAATATTATTATTTTTTTTTAAACAAAATTTTGTAAGAAAATAGTTTGTGTGAATAACGTTACAATATATATTTTACCTCACATTAATGACACCAAAAGTTTTGTTACTTTCACTGTCAGCTACTCTTCGTACCATCGCCACCAACCGTTGCATGTAGAGCTGGAGCGGAATAACCTGACCAGGAACTAACACAACATTTGGCAGCACCATCAGAGGCAATGTGATGATAGAATTTTCATCAAATATGATTCTTCCCCTGACATCCTCAAGATCGTTCCCAAGGTACTAGAAAACAAAGTCAGGTGAAAAAAACACACAAAAAAAACAAAACCTTCCAAACTTTAAAAAATTAAAAAAATTTAATTAATTTTTGAATTATCCTTAAGCTGATGTTCAAAAACAAGGTTAGACCTCAGAAAAAATGATGTACATTTATATATTTTTTTTATCTCATATCACTTACAAAAAAACATTTTTAATATGATTTATGACTGCATATAATTACCGAATGAGTTGATGGCAGAGATTGATCAAAGTTGATAAAAACTTGTTGAGGGGGTGAGCTCTGTTTCTCTGACTTTTCTGATGATTTTCCTTTTGATTTTTTGCTGAGTCTCTTTCTGTTGACCAGATTCAGCTCTGCAAAGGGTTCATTTCGATTTTCAGCTAATTCTTCATTGCCATCATTTGCATCCATTTGTTGCTCCCCTTCCTCCTCCAAATCACCATCTTAAATCATAAATAAATTACCTTTCAAAATAATTTATAAAAAAATACTTGAATTTTGATAAAGGAGCTAAATCATACTATTGTTTTACAGTGTTTTGAGATGGGATATTGTACATCTTGTGCAATATTTCAAAAGTGTTCACAGTACATATGTCAGAAAGATGCCAACCCATCTCGCCCAGATAAGTTATGTGGTAGCAGGTACAAACAATGACATAGATAACATTGCGGTTTGTGCAAAGGAAACTGTCCTTTATTTAAAAACAACCCTTAGGGAAGGGATTATGTTAAATCTGAATGACAAAAGAGCAAGTTTTAAAATGGCTGCAGCCACATGGCTTGGTCCCAAAGTGAGAAAGAGTAGCAGGGAGATGGCTACGAACAAGGAAATCTTGAAGATTTTTATATCTTCTGAACACAATGAGAGACGCGGTTGAGAAAATTTTGTGCATGTTGGGATCGTCGAGGAGTATGGCGCGGTTTTAAAGAAAACTTTTATGGCTAAGAGAATATGGGCATGATAATTAAGATTAAATTTGATCCTGTTGCCATTGCCACTCTGACGAGACCTGAAGGCTTCAGCAAGAGGGATGATTTTAACCTGTTAAAGGGCTGACGAAAGTACCTTAAGTGTATTCTTCATTAAATTAAATCCAGGCAGTGATAGTTAACTAATACTTAATTATACAGCGCTTATATTCATTTTATTTCTAAAGCGTCTTTAAACATCTCCAACCTTCCATAGCTCCATTTGTTTAGTATTTTTCACCCTGTTGCCAGAATTTTGATCACCTATAAGTTGGTATTTTGTGGGGGGGGGGGGGGGGGACTTTAATAAGGTTTTTCTTTTTTTTTGGGGGCCAAAAATTTTTTTTTTTCTAATATGGGGTGTATAAATATAATTCCGAACATGGGCATGGGTGAATGGAACGAGATCAAACTTAGTACACATGACATAAACGTGATTATCCATATTCAAAAACCGGTACCGAAGGGTAATTAATTCATTATTTTAATTTTTCCTACAACTAGCCAATATATATTATAAACGCCTTACACTCCAATTTTAAATAATTTTTTTTTTTTTAACATGGTTTTTTTGTGACTATGCTTTCAGTTGAAAAATTGCAATCTGGCATGTAGGGTGAATTTAAACCAAAAAAAAATGGGGAGATGTTTATGCTATTGGCTATGTACCAATGGGGGCTGTACAAATCAATAAAAATAAAAGTTACTGCTGGACAATATAAAGAATACAATAACTTTACAAGTGATAATACAAATTTCTATCAGAAATAATTACGCACCTGAACTGCAAGATTACCCATTTGGGTAAATGTGAAGTCGCAAACTTATGTCCTAAATGTATCCCTAAACCTAACCTAAACCCTAAATTAGCCCCCATTTGTTAATTCATTCAATTTGAAAATTGTGTTCAAGTCAAGACGCAAGTACCTTCCTGAGGTTACTAAGACTACGAGTACACTCTGAGTGATTGTTTGTAGTACTACTCAGGACTCCACCAACTAGGTCCAAATCAATTCAATCTGAGATACATGCAGAAATGTAAGCGAATATATAGAAATTAGATCAACTACTACCTGATGAAGAATAGTCGCTGTTATCAGATTCTCGCTCGTCTTCATTTTCTGCTTGAATAATTCCTAGCAAAGGAAGCAAATCGTCGACGGGGTCGGCCATATTTGTTTACAATCTCTAAAAAAAGAGTTTATAAAAAAATTTGAGTACGGTAAGCCTAATTTGCAAGATGGAGGTTACTGATAATATGATTTATGTTATTATTATTTGAGAATAATTTACATATAATCAACTTTATACTTATATTTATTGAACAAACGGTCTCAAATAAGGCCAACTCAAAAACAGAATCCTGTTTCATATTCAAGTAAATATAAAGTGCTGGGTGGCAGAGCGTTCTAAATTAGTGAGTCACAAGCAAGTGGACTGGAGGTTGGCCTATATTCCCAGCAAAAGCCTAGACCAGTGGTTGGCAAATCGCGGCTGACAGTCGGCCAAAAATCGGTTTCAACTCCGAAAAACATGGTTCTTGAAAAGAAATTTGGCTCTCAAAATTGTTTTTATCGACCTGTTGCTGATTTTTGGCTCGTTTGACTATGAATTTTCCGACCACTGGCCTAGACCAACAAAAAAAAAAACCTAGCACCCCGGGTGGATGTCAGGAAAAGCCACAAACTCATCTCCAGAAGTTGACGCACTATTGAAATAAATCTTCTCGGGCAGCCTAACTACTCAATTATCGTCAACAGGTCATCTCTGCTGACTGAGTGAAATGCTTTGGTCAGATCAACAATGGAGATGAACAGGCCGCTGTGTTGCTCTTGAAATTTTTCCTGGAGCTGGCTTGCTGCAAATATTTTGTCAACCGTGACCCTTTCTGAACAGAATCGACAGTGGCTTTCAGAAAGAAGTCCCTGTTAAAGGTGCATATTAGCTAGAGTTTGAGATGCTGACGTACTAGCGAAACTTGATTTTAGCCCGCCCCCCTCCCCCCCCCCACTATCAAGGGGGTAACTGAAAAAAAAAAGAAATCAATATTCTAAATTAACAGTCAAATATAGACAATATAATAATACGCGAGAGGAGTATATGATAAAACCGTCCGCAATGGGATGAGGTGGATGCTCAGTGGTAATAAGGTAAATGGTGATGGATTGGTGGGGGGGGGGAGGTAACGTTAAGGAAAATATGGCAGGATTGAATGGGGTGGATATTGGTTAGGGAAGGAGTAATTCAGGTATGAAGTATGTCACAGTATGTGAAGATGATGAAGAGACGGTAAATAAATTATATGAATGAAAGGAACACTAAGTATGTTTTGAGGGGAAACAATATTTTATGGGACTAGCAGTATTTTCTTGTGTTAATTTTATCTTGCTACTACCTATCAAGAAAACTGTTTTAATTAGATTAGTATAAAATTCATTGCGTGGTTATGCAGTTTTATATATATATGGCTCTCAAAATTTTTTTAATCGACCTGTTGCTAGTCCACTGTTGCTGATTTTTGGCTCGTTTGACTATGAATTTTAGAATATAAATATATATTTTGCATATTTCCGCTTCTTAACCTCCTTCGCATATTTCAACCACATTTTTTAAAAGTGTACGCATAGCACTCACACACCTACGATCTTTTAGTTTCTAAAACAAAAATCTATTTCCTTATGTATTCCAACCCCCAATCAGACGAACAAAACCGAAGTATCTTACGGTATCTAGTTGATACTTCTAGCCACTTCCGAATATCCGGAATTTTCGAGGTCATTCACGTGACTTATTATAACCAATAGCATTCGTTGTCGTGTACCTTAATTTATGTGACGTATAATTTTAGTAAACAAAAAGTAGAAACCAAACCAATGCCATATGTCATATGTTCATTCTGTGCAGTGCAACCATACAACACAACTGGTGGGTTACCATAGGCCTAGGCTTGATTAAGGAATTGTTGCACTTAGAAATCTATTTCTGGAGGGTCTGATTGTTTGGTATACTGATTGCTTTATAAATCGGATGTATAAAGTAAGTAAGTATAATTTTATTTAACCGGTACTTATAATTATAAATAATAATAAAGTCTTGCATTCTTCGGTTCTATTAGAGAGAAAAATGAGTTGGCTAATTTTTTGTAAATCGTTATTACTAAATTGTTAATATTATTAAACTAGAAATAACCCGTGGACCGTAGAGTTGAAATCCACGGGCGCCCCCCTCTCCCCCGCCCAAACCTCTTTCGCTGGGGAGCCTTGGGGCCCTCGATTTCTGCCTCCGATCCCCTTTGACTCTTGACAATTTGCATCAGGATTACTTTTGACTTTGGAACGTTTGCAACGCTCTGTAAATCTGAGAATCAAAAGTCAATGTCACGGTATACATGTGATGATCCAAATAAACTTTACATTCTCACAACAAAATGTTAGTGATTTATTATAATTTATATTTACACTTTATTCTGGTCTTTTAACTAAATGCATACAATCATACAGTAGACAGTTATTCATCCTGGCCTAACAGTCTTTACTTTAAACAATAGGCCTACACTACACCTGTGGCTCTTTCTTGATAAATATAATAGTTGCTTTCCTCTTAAAAGAATTTTTTTTCTTACCGAGTTCATGTCACACAAGAGCCTTTTCTTTCCACTCAGTACTATTTAATATAAAACATGTGGACTATGGAGTTGGAGGGAAGGTGGTTACAAAAAGTAAAAACAAAGCAAGACACACCAGAAGTAATTATGAATTTAAATTTAAGAGATTGCAATTATAATGTATTTTAAATCTTAAAAATCTATATACATGGAATGATGGAATTAGGATGTTATAAAAGCAATCCGTTTTGGTATTGTTTGAATAATGCTATAAATATAATACATTACTGATGACCGCTGGGGAGGTAAGCTAAGATTAGAATAGCCTTCATTAGGTTAGATCTTTTCTTAAACTTTCACTTTTTTCCTTTGGGGACTATTTCTATTAATAGGAAACCCTAAAACTTTTGGACCAGTTGCATAATTCTGCCACTTTTCTACTCCTCCAGCGTCCATCATGAATCTCTACAAGTATTGTGTTCTCCTGATTGCCACTTTGAGCGCAGTTCTTCTGTATGCAGATGTTGAGGCTGCTGAGGACCATTACAAAACGTTGGGTGTTAAAAAATCAGCATCAGATAAAGAAATAAAGAGAGCATTCAGGAAACTGGCCTTAAAATATCATCCTGATAAGAATAAGAAAAAGGATGCAGAAGCAAAATTTTTAAAGATTGGTAAAGGTATGTAAATTTTCCCAGACAGTAGCCTTTGTCTTAACATAAACCTCACTTCCAGTTTATATTGATTCCATTTCTACTTAGCAACTTAGCATAATCAAATTAATATACTTTGAAATTTTTTTGTTTTTGTAATACTTCTAGTGTCTAAAAGTTAACTCATTCCTTACAGCAGTGCTACTTACGTACTTAATTTAAATGGCTTGGAAAGGGAATCAACTCCATTTTGCAATTGATTAAATTGATAAAATATTTTTTTAAGTTGCTTAAATATTAATTAATGTCAATGAATTGAGGACAAATGCATCCAAAAATGAATGTTTATTTAAAAAAAAATAGATTTAAAGTAAAAATAGGATTAAAACTTCCGGTTTTTAAATTGGAATTGCGCTATCTTTGGAAGTCTCAAAGGATGCGAGATTTCATTGCTACTTTTAAATAAAACTGAGAGATGTGTGGCTATGCACTGTGCCGCATTTGGACACATCCATTGAAACCCCCAAAAGGACGCATTTAGTCCATACTGTCCTGAATGAGTTAAATATTCTACACATTTTTTAACCCATACAACTTTTTCTCCATAAATGATTTCATTGTCTTTTCTTTTCAACTATGACTCATATAATTGCAGCTTATGAAATCCTGAGTGATCCTGAAAAGCGAAAGAAATATGACATGTATGGAGATGATGGTGCCGGTACCGGTCCAGAGGGTGGAAATGCCGGAGGCTTCCAAAATGCAGATTTCAATCAGTTCTTTAAACAATTTGATGAAGCTATGAATTCTCACCGCAATGGGCATCATTATACGCACCATGGCAACGGAGGATTCCGTCACTTCAACACATTTGGTGACTCTGGAAGCTTTTTTGACTTCGATAATCTTTTCCATGATACTGATGAAGATGATCTATTTGGCTCATTTCAAGGAAACAGGAGATCACAAAATGATTTTGGCAATCATTTTGGTTTCAATGGTGGCAACTTTGGAGATATGTTTGATCACTTCTTTGATGGTGGCAACAAGTATGATCGAGCCCATAATTCTGGTGACCATTTTGCTAATCATCACCATATGCACAACAATTTCCACCATAATATGCATCATAATATGCATCATAATATGCATCATAACATGCACCATCAGCAGTTTTCACAGCAAAGTAAGTTCCCTTTTGTTTAAAAAAAAACCTTTCAATAAACTTACATTATGTTATCATACTTTGCAATTCACAAATTATGAAATAATCCTTGCCTGCTGCAGACATTCCATAACTAGGCAGATAGCTTTTAGGTTAAATTAAATAATGTACTTGTTAATCTTTTGAGTATGTTGTTTGCTCCCACTGCTGACAAAATTTATGATTTTTTCCATTGATAAAAATTTTAATGTCTTTGTTGATAATTCCCCAGGACAACAAAGATGTCAGAAAGTAACACAGAGAGTTGGAAATCAAGTCATCACTTTCACCCAGTGCTCTTAGCTTCAAATCAAAAAATGGTGTCATATATGTACAAAATATACATACTGTACATAGTTTACAGTATCTGCAATGCAAAGTCAAGGATCTCAGAAACTTTTTAAAGGAGGAAGAAATGAAGAATGGAAGAGAAAAAAAAAGTAGATTTTTTTAAAAAGTCAAAAGGGTTTTCATTTTAAAAAATTTTACTTTTGGGAAAGGTCTATGAATATCATTCAATAGTTTTTCTTATAATGTGCCAATCAATCACAAATATCTCTATGCAGTGGGACATTGTGTAGCTATTAGAATTTTGGGGCCTCTCCTTTTATTTCTTGGGCACAGATGGTTTCTGTTAGTATTCCATGTAAATCCAACAATTTCCATGTACATAAATAAATACTGCCAGTGTGATCTAAATATATACACCTTTTTTTCCCCCTTTCCTGTGAAGTTATGCTTCTTGTGATATTTAAATGACTTTTTCTGCCTTTGGTTTCATGGGTGTGAAAAGTAATTTAAAATGTTAATGTTTTGGCCTTAACCTTTGCTACTGAAACGTGTGCATGAGATTATGTGCTAGAAGATATTGAAACAAAATTATATGCTTATGAAACTTCTGCTCTGTAGATTTGGTGACTGGTGTCTGCATTATACCATGACATTTTTTTTTTTAAATTTGAGTAATGCCACTAAATATTTACTGGTTTCAGTTGCTTGTTATCTCTTTAAGCTTGTCTGTAAAAAAAACTTCTTTCAATGTATTGCAGCAAAGATGACAAGTCGGTTACAATGACAGCTATTATATCTTTAAATGACAATGATATCTCATTAATTTTTTTAAAATTAAAAAATGCATGTCAGCGTCATATGTAAAATTAATTTATGAAAATAATAAGCCTCATCTGTTTCTAATATACCTTTTGTTCCTTTATACGTAATGCTTAGAAACTTGAAAATCTTCAAAAAATAATTTGGTAATTCTAGCAGTAGCTCAGTTGGTGCCAAAGTGCAGTGCCTCCATGCATGATTTTGTTTTGGAAAAGTGAATAATGTATTATATTTCATGAAACGAATGCAATTAAAACAAATAATTTTATTTGGTCTACTTAACCTGAGTGTAATAATCATGTCCTTTTTTTTTCTATTTCTTAATCCATTTACAGCTGTCATTTATATTTGATAGTATTAGCAACATTTTTTAAAAATTTTCATTGCAAAGTTACCTTAAATTATTGATTTAGGTGCACAGGAAAAACATGTGTTTCAAATTAAATTTAACAATTGTCTGTTTTATTAATGCACATTCAGTCTTTCACAATAGGCCTATGACAGCATGCCTATAAGTCAAATGTGTCATATGTGTTGAGTACTTTATGACTTTTAACCACAAAAGTTTTTTGTTGCTTTTATGAATTCCCTTTTTTAAAGGGTACCATGTCATCTTGTTTCAGTTGATGGGTTTTTACATTTTTTTTATTAACTAAACAGTGGGATGTGTTTCTACAGCTGTGGGTACTCATCATCATTAACTAACACTACAGTGGGATGTGTTTCTACAGCTGTGGGTACTCATCATCATTAACTAACACTACAGTGGGATGTGTTTCTACAGCTGTGGGTACTCATCATCATTAACTAACACTACAGTGGGATGTGTTTCTACAGCTGTGGGTACTCATCATCATTAACTAACACTACAGTGGGATGTGTTTCTACAGCTGTGGGTACTCATCATCATTAACTAACACTACAGTGGGATGTGTTTCTACAGCTGTGGGTACTCATCATCATTAACTAACACTACAGTGGGATGTGTTTCTACAGCTGTGGGTACTCATCATCATTAACTAACACTACAGTGGGATGTGTTTCTACAGCTGTTGGAACTAATCATTTTTGTGCAGATGTTACAATAAAGTTTCATGCCACATAAACCCTAAGTGGGCAATGGCAAGGAATTGATATCCTCTACATGATTCATTCTTCTATTCTTGCATGGGATTTTTAAAGAATTCTTCACATGTGCTTGTCAGGTTGTGTGAATGGATTGTGTCACTGTTTGGTTACTGTATGTGTTCATTCTGTTACAGAAACCCAAGGTGCTGAATGTTTATGTGCTCTACAATGACTAAATGGTTGTGATGAACTGAGCAAATTATTTCTACATATCTGTGGCATGGTATAGGGTTTTTTTTTAGTTTTTTTTTTAGAAATGTTCAAAACTATATCTATGGCTCTGTGTTTGTTGATCTATATAACAGTGTAGATTTATAGTACTACTTTAGATACTCTAGAACCTAAGCTGTGTAAATGGTGTCTTAACTTAAAAGTATCAGTAGTTGCTGAGATCTGCATGTTACAATAGTTTAGAAAACTGGTACAGAGAGTAATTTGGCCAGTGTTATCCCTACACCAGCTGACCTATTTTTTTTATAAAGTTTTCTTTACAGTTGTGAGGCCAGTGGAAAAAACAGTCGCTTATTTATGAGAGTAAATGTTGAAAGAACTATCTGTCCCTAAGGTGATTTGATTGTGAGTGCATTGTGGATTGGGCTAATATGATGAACAGAATCAAAAATGTATCTTAATTTATGAGATTTAAAACACATAAAACTGTTGAAATTCTTGGGTTGTCCCCCAAATCTCTGTGGAGACCACAAATAAACGAATGATCTGCAAACATGAATAGTTATTTAATATTTCATAAATGTGTGTCATAAGTTTTTGTCTGAAACTCATTCCTTGAAAATAAAATTTGTAATTTATAACAACAAAGAAAACAACAGAAAGTCATTTGAAAGCTTGAGCAGGCCGTTGCATACACTTTCACGGGGTCTTTTTCTTGAGAATGTGTAGAGTTGGGTTTTTGTTGTCTTAACGTTGTGTATACTCTGCTTGTGGAACTAGAAGCTATAGATGAACTACTTGCTCAGAGCAGAGCTATTGTCACTGCTGTCCCCGAGAAAAACAGGATTTAGATCGTGTGTCGGATAGCTGCTGGGTCATGTATGTGGGTCGTGTGTCAGACAGCTGATGGTTCGTATGTCGTATGACAGCTGTTAGAATAAAAGGCCCCGCTGTCCAATCGAGGCACACTTACAAAATTGGCACATATACCCGAGTAAAACACGTCCTCCAGGAAAAATATGGGGAACCTCAAAGCGGCTTCGTACAGCAGCTTGGCCACGGCTATGGGGTAGGCGTTGGCACTGCCGTATAAATAGGAAGGGTACTCTTGAACCTTGTACAGGGCATAGTGAATAGCCGCCGCCTCGTTCTTCTCGTTGGCCTCGATCATCTTCTTGGTGGCCAGCTTCCCCAGCATGAACAGCGACTGGTCCACTGATACCTTGTTCAGTTCGGCCAACACACTGGCCATGTCTATCACGCAGTCGTCTGCAGATTTCAGCACGTAACTCGCGGCGAGGCAATAGTTGGTCACCCACTTGATAACCGACATCGTTTTGAGGCTGAGATTTTTTTCGGAGTCGACGATCTCGCTTTGGACTATGTCCCCGTACATCTTAGCCTCCATCTGGATCCTCTGGTGCACGGCCTCGGCGTCTCGAGACGCGGACACCCCCACGAAAAACAGAAACACAATCTGGACGTCCGGGTGCCAGAACATCGAGTACTCGTCCCGCACGATGTCTCTGAATCTGTGTCTGGCATCGAACTCGTCCGCGGCCACGGTGACGCACAGGAGGAGCTCGACGAGCCGGTTCCTACAAGCGTCCGTCGGGTTGATTCGGTACGCGTAGTCGTGAGGATTGACCACCGAGTGCTTCCGGACTTTCTGCAATCTCAGGATGTAGTGCTGGCTCAGTGACCCGGGAACAAACCGCTCTGTCGTGGTCGACTGCTTGGCATGAGATTGGCGGGGATCGTAACCCGTTACGGTTTTAGCGACAAGGGCCATCCCGAATGGTCGTTCTTCATCAAGCTCACTGGATTTCCGGTGTGCGCTCAGCAAGAGCAGCAGGTTGCCTATTAAAGCTAGATTTAAGATGGCGCACAACAGTGTTCGAAGCGTCGTCTTATAGTTCATTGCTTTGTTTGTCTATAAAGTTGTTGTTTTTTTTTCAACAATTTTGTAAATCGTAAATACTGATATGCCAAGTAGTGTTGGTCTCATTCTAATAAGGACAGCATTGTCGGCATTTATGGCGCACACAAAAAAATGCGTTGACTTGTTTACAAACGAAGGGTTGACTTCTAAACTTGTTAAAGACCGACAATTATTATTTCACCGACATCTTCACCCAACATTTCTGAACTTTCTCACCCAACCATGTCAAGTGATTACACGCCTGACTGCATAATGTATGGAGCAGGTAAAACATACGGTACCGAGAAGAAATCATTTTGGCACCAAAAAAAAAAAAATCAGAGCGTTTGTGTCGTCCTCTCTGGAATTGTGTTAAATCTTTATCATCTTCAGAAATAAGTGTACGAACAAATGATTTTCATTATCCATCAACAATGTTCCACCGGATATTGTTTATCTATGATTTCGCCATTCAAAACATTGTGGGTTTGAGATTTTAACAAATCATATAATTAACCCCATCCGGGCAAAAAGACACAAATTTAAAAAAAAATAGCGTGCTTCAAAGGATTTTTTTAAAAATTAAAAATATTCGTGTAACAAGATGATGTGTTTAGGCTGGGGAAAAAAAAAAAGGGGGGGGGGGGAGGGGGGGTG